ATGCAATAGAACTGTTAGAATCATAACTAAAATAATCGACCCTGAAAACATTCAAATCACCTTCCCAACATTATCTAGTCTCACTAATATAATCATCTAAAAAGAAACATCATACTTTACAATCAATGGCAGCCCAGCTTCAAGATACCAATTCTCTATCCAAAATGTATTCGCACTCACAATATATAAAACACAAAGTTTCACCCTACCTCATGCTATGATAAGTATAGACCAAGGTATATTTGCTTCAGGTTAAGCCTACATCACTATAAGTAGAGCCACTTCATAGAACACCTTTGACCTTTTTTTATTTGATTTCTCTACTATAAAAACTGATCAAAGCATAATAACAGAATACACAAGACTTTCAGAATTATCTAGAAAAAGATTGAATACACTAACAACAAATAATCATTAATTAATTAACCTCTAACATATTCTCCTTATTATTAACTAACTAAACAATAATATTATCATTACTACCCTCACTTACCAAATTTATATACATACATACAATCACAACAAAACTACACCAAATATTTACTTCTAAATACCTATATCAATTATACTCTTTTAAATTCGCACAACTATATCGTACATACTACCATACATACATTCTTGTACCACCAATCACATGCCAGAACCCCAAAATAAACTCTTAAAAAAACTATATTTATACATATCCCTCCTATAATCAATACATATATATATGCAATACTAACAAAATATATATTTTTAAATTCAAAATTTCCAACAAATTCCATATAATCACTATATATACTATTCAATACATTTATTAAAATTCTTAAATTACACAGTTACATACCTATACGCCTACATATTTTACCAACTATTCTTATTACTACTAATCTACTCTTTATACTAAATATCACAAAATTACAAATATTCCATCAAAATAATACTACCACTCAACATCGTTATATTACTAACAAAACAAACAATCAAATAAAACATTCAATTACCCTAACTCCTTTAAATAAATCCCTGATTTAATTTAGCAACTAAACTTCTTTACCCAATTCAATATATTACCCCTAATTATTTCAAACTCCCTGCGTATTTTCATAGAAAAACTTGTTATTATACTTAATAATCATAATAATAAAATATACATAGTAAAGTTACACCCAAGAGTCATCTTAAAACCAAAAAAAAAAATTTATTAACATTAAGTTTAAATATTTAAACTTTATTTTTACCAGTACTTCAATATTATGAATTTGGCATGCCATGGTATGCCATAACATGCACTCCTTAATGAACCCCTTACGAAATTACCTAATATGTAGCCCGAACAAAACGAAGCGAAATGGCAAAGACAAAAACACGAAAATATAAAAACGGCTATCTAAACCGGTTTTCATGCACTAAATTAAAGTGTCAAAAATTCGATTACTATATACAACCATCCTTCTCTATCCCAAATCCTCGATTTAATACAGGAGTACTCCCACACATGTAACATCTACTTCCTCATTTAGAACTTACTCCTCTTTCTAAATTTCCTTTTCTCCAACTGCATGATTTTACACATTTATCCCGGTGGCATTCACTGATCGACAATCAAAACAACGAATATGCGCAATTTTTTAAAGTCATAAAACACTACATTAGGGTCAGGTTTACAATTATAGCGAGGCTTGCTTTATACTAAAATTTTTCAAGAAATTTTTTTTATTATAGGCGGTTGTTTAAAAAAGCACATGATTTCACGTTATACCTAATCTTGTAATCTGATTGGTCATTCGATGTCGATCAGTGAAAATCTGTAGTAGTTGATTTAATACACTGCAACTGCGTGTTTGTTCGAAAACAATAATATATATTGCGAACGTATAAACCATATACTTCGTAATATTATAAATAACTTCGTTTCCTGATATTACAATTCTACATATGGAAAATGTAGAGATTACGTAAATTCTACATACCTGCATCTCTACTAAAAATTACCCCTATTTAAGGGACTCTCCCTTTGCTATTTAACGTGTTAATATATTGATTGACAATCTGTTCATTTCTCAATGTCTAATGCCTAGCATAAATATTTTAACGAGACTGTTGTTGATTTCTGGTTGGCTAATCAGTTTTACAAAATTTGGAAAGAAGAACATCCAAGTGAAGAGGACCCCGGAAACTGTAAGGCTAAGGATGTGCTTTTCAAAAGTCTTTGTGTGATTTCTAAAAGATGTTCGGATAGGAAGAAAGTTCAGAAGGCTAATAATATATTAAATTATCTTGAGGTTGCAACATTTATGAATTATTATCCAGACTTTTTATACATTATATACAGACTTTTTGTCTCGACTTATTGTCGTTTATAGACTTTTCATCTTCAGACTTTTCGTCTCGACTTATTGTCGATTAGAGACTTTTCGTCTCCAGACTTTTGTTCTCGACTTATTGTCGCTTAGAGACTTTTCGTCTCCAGACTTTTTGTCTCGACTTATTGTCGCTTAGAGACTTTTCGTCTTCAGACTTTTCGTCTCGACTTATTGTCACTTAGAGACTTTTCATCTCCAGACTTTTTGTCTCAACTTATTGTCAATTAGAGACTTTTTGTGTCTCCAGACTTTTCGTCTCGACTTATTGTCACTTAGAGACTTTTCGTCTTCAGACTTTTCATCCTGACTTATTGTCGCTTAGAGACTTTTCGTCTCGACTTATTGTCACTTAGAGACTTTTCGTCTCTAGACTTTTCGTCTCGACTTATTGTCACTTAGAGACTTTTCATCTCGACTTATTGTCGCTTAGAGACTTTTCGTCTCAACTTATTGTCGATTAGAGACTTTTTGTGTCTCCAGACTTTTTGTCTCGACTTATTGTTGCTTAGAGACTTTTCATTTCCAGACTTTTTGTCTCGACTTATTGTCGCTTAGAGACTTTTCGTCTCCAGAAACTTTTAGTGTCTCCAGACTTTTTGTCTTGACTTATTGTCAATTGTCGTTTCGTCTCAACTCATTGTCGCTTCATCTCGGCTTATTGTCGTTTTGCTCGACTCATTGTCGCTTCGTCTCAACTTATTGTCGTTTCATCTCGTTATTGCTTCGTCTCAAATTATTATTTATGGATTTGTAATTAAAAGTCCTGGATCTTCATGTTATTCAAATACTTTGTTGCAACAACACTAACAAAATTGGGTTCTTATTAGAATCATCGTTATAAAGAAAACGGTCAACCCTTTACACATAACAATAAAAGCAGTAATTCAGGGATAGGGAGTTTAAGTTTCGTATCTTGTGATGGACTAAGAATTAATAATTTGTCATCCGCATTATCTGAACCCAAATTATCTGAACTAGCAAACGGACACAAACGTCTTTACGGAGATGAATTAGAAATGCTATGCAAAGTTAGCATATATATAATTTAACAGTATGTAAAAAACTTTTCTACTGCAAATTCGAACTAATAATTTTTTTTAAATTTATCAAGCATACGAAATATATTATAGATGTAAGATTTATAAATTTTTTTTTTACAAGGCATAGAGTTATTCATAATTAATTTCATGCGTATATTTAAGAAAAGGAAGATTCTGGGTGTGTGCTTCCTGAAGGGAGTATATTATATTCTGATGGAAGTATTGTACTTCCTGATGGAAAAAACTCCCCTCTGAGTGTGTTGTGCTTCCTGAAGGAAGTGTACTTCCAGATGGACAAATATTAACAAAACCATCCCATCTGAACTTCTTCCTGTCAACATCAAATGAGTTATATGAGAACGAGAATGAGGATGAAGAAATGACAGACGATGATGATGACGATGACGATGGCGATAACGATGACGATGACGATGATGATGAACTCTCAAATTTAACGGACATTCAAAGATTTGAACAAATTGATACACATCCATGGAGCTTACCATCAGGGGATTCTGTGAACAACATTTTCACAAAACAAGTAGTACAAAACCTTGATATCTTAAAACATAAAGAAAAGCTAAATCCAAAAGAAAGAGCTACTGTTCGTTATTGTATGTCAAAAATCATTGACCTTTCAGCTCACATGAAAGAATGGTTCACCATTCAAGACCACCAATAAATCATAAAAAAGTGTGAACCGATTTTAATAATTCCCGAATTAGGAGAAAAAGTAGACATGTTTATCAATAACGTAGAACAGGTATAATGCACCATAAAAATATTGTTATGGATGATCGTGAAATTGAATGATGATGAAATTTGAATCTATTTTATGTATGATTTTTAAATTTTTTGAGGGTCTTTTTTGTCAGCTTTTTTTTATGGTTATGGTTAGAGCTATTAATCAAAGAGTATAGGTTAATTTTGGTAAGGCTTATATTTTCAAATTGAGAACCTCAATTTCACCATCATCCGATTTCACGATCATCCGCGACAAATATTATTTAATTTGTTCATTTTATATATGGTTTACATTTTTTATATAGGCAGTACAAAATGAAAGCGCAGACAAAGCTTACAAGTTTTGCTTTGAAACATATCTAAATTCAAAAAAAAATACATGCATATATCATATTAGCAAAATTTATGCTGAATTGTATGTATTTATTTATTATTAGTTGTTTTTTTATTTTTATAAATTACTAGTTAATATTGACTGCTTTTAGCCTTTTTGAAGTTAAAGATGGAAATAATCTGTTGAATAGTGAAGAAGGTTGTACCGAAATCGATATAATAGTCAAGGTATGTTACTATATCATAAAAAGGGCTTAAAAAAGGAATAACCTGCAGATAGTATAATATACGTACTTTTTTTGTAATATTTAAATAGTGTATAAAATTTAAATTATAAAATGTGCATGTATAGGGTGAATCTTTCTGCCCTTCGACTCGGTCGCTGACTTATGTAAAAGGGAGAAGATGCGATATACGCTTTTTAAGTTCCACAGAAATAGATATAGGAGAGTGGGAGTTCTCATCACAAGTGACTCCAATAAAAGCGATTGGAGATTGATGCAGATCAGCAAGGGTTAACCAATCAATCTTAAACAAAATGTTGAAACTGGGCATAAGCAATGACCAGGTAGAAGCAACAAAGGTTCCTTTTTTATAAATTTCAGTGATTTATAGACAGTTATTAGTAGAAGACATTGTAAACGGTTTTTATATTATCTTCCCAGGTGCAACATTTGAATTACCAACCAAGTTGTCACAGATTAGAAAATTAAAGTCAATGGTCAGGATTTTTAAACACATATTAGTAAGTGTTATATGTGTTATATTCAATATGAGCATTTAATTATCAAGAAAACTAATATATCATGATCAACAGAAAATATACGAAAAAATAAGCAATATGCTCTGTGAGATAGACCACAGTTATAACCCACTTAATGACATTTTTAACGTAGATTTTAATGACTATGAACAATCAAATTGCAAAACAGCCTTTATTCGAGAACCTTTTTGGTCACCAAAAAAGAACATTTCTTCTGAATTAATAGCTGCATTTGAACAAATGGAAAAATATAGTGCGTAATATTTCAAGTCGACATTAATAGTAAACTAAGTCAGCTTTTTTTTTTAAATTACTAGCAGAGATAATCTATTATGTGGACAATCTCTTTTGACTTAAATGAATCGACCCAGATAATGCAAAAATTCAAGAAAATCATTAGTATTAGGTATTTGCGTCAAGAAGACATACTGCAGCAATTTAATAATGAGATGTATTTTGAATCATTAGATAAATCATAATAAATAACATATTTGCGTTAGGAAGCTGTGGAGAAACTCATCGTATAATATGCAAATATAATGAGTCAATTACAGGTTTAAATAGATTAAGAAATTGTGGAAAAATTTTTCGTATAAAAGAAGAGGATTATTTATAACAGTGTTACGAATAATACAATACTCAATATATATATATATATATTATATAAAATATATAGTCGTAAAAGAATTTAATAATGAGCATATAGCAAATATATAAAGTTAATAAGCATGTATTGGTATAGTACGTACGTAGAAATTAAGGTCGTGTATATAGTAGGGATGGACAAGTCCTGTCCAGTCCGGTCTATTGATGTTTTCTACTCATCGGACATGTGATTTGCAATGCATTTCCATATATAAATTTAAATAAATTAAAATCATTTCTTTATCTTGTTAAAATATTTCTCAAATAAATCATATGTTTATAATTTAATAAAACTTGATTTATATGTTTTGTTTATTAAAATTTAAATCTGTTTATAATTTTTTTTTATATATTTTACACAATATAAATATATAGTTTAATATTAATTATATTTTGTAAAATTTGTCTAGATGAAGGTTTATTTATTGAACTGATTATAAAATTATTAGTATTATTAGCTTTAAAAAATTAATAAAAATAGATTTATACAATAAAATATTATTAATCTGAGCATTTATGCCATATAAACTTATATAATTGGTTTCATATCATGGCCAGGTCAGTAGAGTGAAGATCAAAAAAATTTTTATAAATTGACTGATAAAAATTCTCTATACAAAGTGCAGCAAATCATTACCATTATATAATGTTTATTTTTGTTTAATTTCTGTGGATTTATTTTCTCTTATTCGTGCTGGTTATTTAGTTTAAATCTAATGATAATTTTAGTGTTGTAACCCAACTCTTTTTTTGAATTATGACATAGTTTGGGATTTCTACTTAATTTGGGTTCATATTAGGACTCTGTATACGCCTATGCTCGGTACTTTGATACTGCCAGGCACCAATGCTTCATGCCATGCCTATGCCTATAGGCACAAAGTGCCAGGCATTATTATAGGCATGGGTACAAATGCCAGGTACTATAAGATGCATAGACACTAAGTGCCCAGGTATTATTATAGGCACTATAAACACTAAGTGCTAGCACTATAAGTACTAAGTACCAGACAATATGGGCACTAAGTACCAGACACTAATTGGCACTAAGTTTCCAGCACTATTATAGGCACTATGGGCACTAAGTACAAGCACTATGAGTGCTAAGTGCTGGACTATGTTACTAAGTGCCTAGTACTGTTAACTTAATTCTACTGATTAATAAATGGCCTTTATACTTACGACTGAACGAAAAAATTATGCGAATAAAACAATTAGAGTATGAAGTATTTATGTTCTTAATTTAAGAACCGATATGCTAATTTTAATATTAATTCCAATCAATTAATGGTTTTTATGTTCACAGGCATTAGTACAAATGAAATAATTTAAAGTTATGTTCTTAGTTTGTGAACCTGGTTTGCTGATTCTAATTCTACCGATTATAAATAATCTTCAAACCCTATAAAAAAAAGTTTGTACAGTTATTGTAGGCATTGTCCAAAAAAATGTTTGGAACAGAGCAATTTTTCGACGTTTGTACGGGATGTAAAAAATAGAAAATTTTTAATTAAAAATTATTGTATAAAAACGTATAAAAAATGCATTCATCCAATAAACACTCTTTAAATGTTCGAAACGGAGTTGATTTTCCGAATAAAAAATCAGAATTTTCCAAACAATTCCAAGAGATTTTTTTTTATAGGGAAACATTTCATTCGCATTAATCATTTTACTCAGCTTATAAACATAAAGACTATTAATCGATAGAATTAAAATCAGAAAATTAGTTCTCATATTAAGAACATAAGCACTTAGTATTAGTGTTGAGATCCGTTTGGTTAAACATCTGGGTATCTGAGAAAGATACTGTTATGCCTGAAAGCTACCTCTTATGAGCTCAGTATAACGATTCTATTTTAGCAACGTATATGTTATTAATTAACTACTACTAACGTTTATACTTAAGTAATTTAGGTTTTAGTGCTATTACGCTTTAAGAGGATTCAAGTGATTTGCACTTACGAAAGAGACAAACGGCTAAATATATATGAAGATATAAGTAGTCGTATTAGGGTATATAATGAGTCTAAATATATCTATCGCAAACTCTCTTTATGATAGTCACGTGTTAAAGATCGTTAATCCGCTTAACAATTACTTTGGGTTTATACTGTGTATGAAGACACAATATGGTGTTAAATTATGTATGAAGACATGATTAGGGTTTATTTTGTGTATGAAGACACAAGTTATTTTATTTAATAAATATGAGTTGTTAACTATAAGTTGTGAACTATTACTTCCAAAGAGAAAAAATGCGATTATTTATACTTGTTGTTTGTTCTAATATTATATATATCAATTATACTAGATTGTTTCTATGAGATAATTTATGAATAAGCTAATATAACCAATACATATAATAGGTCCACTAATGATACTAAAATAAATAAAAAAAATAATAAAAATATAAGAAATCAAAGAAATTGTAGAAATTGTAGGAATTGTAGAATTCTTAGTGCATATGATACATTGTCACGTATGTCATATACTATTAATCACATGAAATTAAAAACGGTTGGAATTGACAATTTCCAGGTCTAACATTTCTCCCTCCCTTAATTATGAGCTCTGCAAATAAATTTCTTCTTCATGACAAATACCAATTTGAAATATTCCATCATTGAAATATTTTATTAATAATCGCCTAATATTTGACCAAGATCGGTGGTGCTAATTTTATCTAATTTTTGTAGGTTAAATGTACGAGTATAGTAAATAGATTCAATACCGTATCTATTAAAGAGTCGATATGTTTTAATTGAAACTCTTTTAAAATATGCAGAGAGGCAAATCACTAACTCTTCCCAACGATTACTTGTACCAAATTTTCTCTAAAAACAATTGCACTTTTCTCAATATCTTACTAAGTAAACCTATTCTAGCTGCCTAAGTAAAATTGTTCCTGACAAAATTTTACATATAGGCGGCCTAGTTTTATATCTTCAAAGGCCTTCATCAATGAGATATAACTAAATTTGTTTTTTTGTTCCTTTTATAAAAAAACTCAAAATTTTATTAAGTAAACTGCCTTTGCTTATTAAAAGAAAAAGATTCAGCTAATCTCTAGCTTCATTTTGATATATAGCACATCAAAAACGGACCAAAACTGACAATTCTATAGCAAAAATACTTTTAAACTCCTTTGCAAAAATTGTACTTTATTTTTGCAAAAATTTTTTGCTTTTTTTGGGGAATCCTGCCTCCCTAGGACGCCTAGACCTGCAGATCCTAGCTTACAAATCAATATTACAAATTAGTTTACACAAATTTTATTTCTGTTTCATCTATTTTTAATTTTAAACTATTTTTACTAATTTACTTTTAACCAAATTATACAACTTTTGTTATATGTTAATCATGTCGATCCTGTCGATCACCCACTGTCACACCAGGTGACTTCTTATTTGTTACATCCCTTATATATATCACACCTTTATTTGTCACACTTTTATTTGTCACACCATTATTTGTCACACCCCTGAAAAAAAATTAATAGTTCAACCTAACATCAAAATGCCTACCTTAGCTGACTTTCAAGAGCCAGATTCCTACAATATTGACTACTATTACTCTAGATATAAAGACCATCATGGTGTAGGACTCAATGAAAACAAGCCTCAATCACTCCATATTTTTCCTGTTGATGCAAAACCTGACTACTGCAATGACAAAAAACAACAACATTATTTTAAAGTCCCTCTACAACCTACAATCTCAACATGCTTGTGTAGTAAATACTACACAAGTTTTACTTCTCAATTTTATAAAATTAATCATTCTACAACGATAGGTTAACCCAATCACAACTACAAACTAGGTCCACAATCTCTGCAAACAGCTTCAAAAAAACTGCCGAATTACCTGCTTCACCTATTACCAAAATTCCAGATATATCTGACTCATCTCAAACCAATCCACGTATTCTTTTTCCTAACTTTCAAACTGACTATGCACCTATAGCTATTCTTGCTCACTCACATCACTATCATACTTGCATTATTTGCAAAGTTAAAAACATCCTCTGTATACTTACCGAAGATCAACAAAATCATACACCTGACTATACAACTGCCACTATCTTTAAAAATGCTTTAATTTATAGAACTTGTTCATTCCAGCTTCTCGATATTAAACTCAAACCCATTACACCAACATCTCCACTTGGCTTTAACCACAAAAAAATAATTGCCTTTTATAAACTTTCTCAAATGTCTGCAAAGGACAAAATTAATCTCTACAAAGAAATTTTTTCAAAAAAAGCTAAGACAAATCAATTTACTAGTGAACAAAAGCAAAAACAAAAACAAAATCAAACTTCGCGAGATACTACTAATAATATAGACTGGTTTAAAGAATACCCAATTACCTCATTCATGGAGCCAAACAACAAATTTAATACTCAAATTGCTTATCAGCTATTTGATTTTATTAGACTGCATCTCATCGATGTTTATTTTGGCAAAGTTATTAGACCAGCCTTAAACAATCAACGAGAATCTAAATTCAATTACATGTACCTTGTCAAAGTCTTAGCAGGGAAAAAACCTAAATTCCTTACTGATTTCATTCACAACAGCAACTCCACTATTAATTCAGACATTGAAATCCCT